AGAGGCAGGGTTGGGGGCTGTTGTAGGGGGGTGTCGGGGACTGTGCAGGCAGGGCCGAGGGCTATGGCAGGGGCTGTTGCTGGGGCAGTGTTGGGGGCGGTTCCGGGGGTTTCTTCTACCTGTCGGTGTTTTGTTGATGCTGCTTTTGCGCCGGATAGTGGTAGGGTTGCTTTTGGGTGTGCTCTATTTTCTACGACGAACAGTTTTCTTGCTGCTATTAATGGGGAATTACTATGTTCTCCGGACCCTCTTATGGCGGAGGCTATGGCGTGTCGTGAGGCTCTATCATGGATTAAGACGCTTGATATTCATAATGTGGAGATCTTGATGGATTGTCAACGTGTGGTTTTGGCAATTTCAGATACTTCATTCTCTCTTACTTCTTATTTTGGTTCGTTAATTGTTGAGTGTAAGACCTTGTTGGTCGGTTTTTGCTCTAGTTCCATCAATTTTGTTCGTAGAGAGTTAAACGTTGTTGCTCATTCTCTTGCGAGGAGAGCAGAGGCCCGTCGTTCTGTTTGGGTTTCTACTCCCCCGGATTTTGTAATCCCTCTTTTACGATAATGAAGTTTCTTTACTTTCAAAAAAAAAAAAACTGTTGGTTCATTCCTATGGTGTAGGTTCCTAGTCCTAGTTGGATACTCCCACCATTATTTATTTTGTTATTTTCATTTCTTCAAAGTTAAAGAACTATTCGTTCATTCCTATGGTGTAAAGTAGTAGGTAGGGGTGAGCATGGTACGGTATGAGACGGGATTATGCCCGTACTGATACTGTACCATAACTTTCGGTTCAGTATGGGATTTCATATTTTACCATTAAATAAAATCTTTTAAATAGGAGTAAAACATGTGTTATATCCTCATAGTAGGAGTTCAAGCATAAAATAACATTAAATAGGAGTAATTAGCTACGAGTATTTTTATTTGCTCTTGGCCACACAAATCAAATTAGACCTTTATGATGAAAAGTATGGGTGAGGCAACACATTTCAGGTGATTGTTATTTGATTGAGCGAGATTTAAAATTGGGAACAAGATTTAAACAAAACTAACAGAAAAATTGTCAAACAAAAAAATTAAAAGGAAAAATAATCGAATATAAAAATAAAAAGAAAAAATCAAAACAAAAATCAATGCCTAATGAAATGCAATTTTTCAGAGAAAAAAAATGAATGCAATTAATTGGAAACATTTCTTACTTCTACGATGTAGTTCAATTATAGAGCATTTGGAAGCTAATTAAAAATCAAAATCATAGTTATTGCATAAGTTTGTTCTTAGTTTGATTTCTATGATTGTGTGAAATTGTCTAGAAGACGTATTTGTTTTTCAACCGACTTTCAAGTCCATAGAAAAATACTGCTCTCACTGGGTTTAATAAATACATTAAAAGTAACCATTATTAATTACGAGGACTAGAGGAAAAATCTGAACCATAACCTGTGTTCTTTGATTAAATTTATTTCCTTGGAGATGGTACGGTTTTAAAGAAACTAATGCAATATTTTCTTTCTTTATTACTTAATTAATTACTTCTATTTAGATGAGTTTAAGTTTAAACTCATATTTTGAGGATATGACATATGTTTTGCTCCTATTTAGGAGGTTTTCTTTTGGTGTAAATTATGTAATGCTAATTTTTGTTAACGCACCAACATTTTGTGTCAGTGTAATTTTTTTAACGTACAAGCACTTTATGTTAGTGTGAACCGTCAAAATGTTACTGTATACCTTTGGTGTAAGTTTGGGGTACAAATTATTAGGGGTGAATATGGTACGATATGGTATGGTATCTAAGCTCATTCCGATGCCGTACAAAATATTTCGGTTAAGTATGAGATTTTAATTCATACTGTTTTCGATATAAAAATATCGGTTCGCGATATTAGTCCTGCAATCGGTTGTTTTTTTTTTTTTTGAAGAAATGAAAATAAAAAAATAATGGTGGGAGTGTTACTAGAGTAGGAACCGTGCAGGAAGTGTGTTGTTACTAGGAGTATAACAACTTCCCAGTTCTTTGTTACTCGGTATAAATTACATCATTCTCCATCGCTTCTCCCTCAATACCCTCATCATTCTCCATCGCACTGTAAGTAACAACTAACTAACCTCTCTTCTTCCCCAATTTCATACACAGATCGATCTGCTCATTAATTATCTGTTTTATTCATGCATCATATCTTTTTCCCTTTTAATTCGCTCGAGCATTTCTGTTACCGGCAAAAAAAAAACTCTTTCTCTCCAACTTATTTCCACTTAATTTCAATACAGGCTTGAAAATTGAAATTGTGTTAGAAAGGTTAAAATTGTGTGATAAGTCCGGTGAACAGAACAGATAAGATTGTTTCATTATGAACAAGATTGTGCAATTTATTAATTACTCTGAAGGCTTGAAAGTTGAAATTTTGCAGGAAAGGTTATAATTGTGTATGAAAGGTTAGGTTCATTGGATGCTTTATGAAATTTCTTGTTATTGACCTAATCAAATAACTAAATTCCTTTTTTTTTTCTTTTTTTTGCATAGGTGAAAAACAATGAGAAGTCTAATTGATTCATCTGTGATGTTGATCCAGTGCATCATCGCATGGATTTCACATCTTTTGTGTTTCCTTCTTTGCCTAAACAAAGGATTTGGCCCCTTCCCAGATGATATCTTAATTAATATTTTGAGCAGACTTCCTGCTGACGCTATTCTGCAATGTCGCAAAGTGTGCAGACACTGGAGGTCTCTAACTTCGTCGACTGATTTCATCACGCTGCAAAACCATAGAGCTCCCTCCGTCATTCTTCTTGTCAAACCTAGACCCTCTACTTCCCTTGAAAAGAGAGGCGGAGATTTTTATGTTTATGATGCACTTGCCAAAAAACTGAGAAAGATTTCTTTCGAGTCCAATCTTCGCTTTGAGGGCCGCGCCAAACAGTTCGATTCGATTTGTTTATACGGTGCTTGTGGTCCCTTACTTCATTATAAGGCTTCAGGGTACTACCATTGGTCCTGGGGGAGACACGACTTTGCTTTCAACCTCTTCACCCGACAACTAGGAGCTATGAAAGCGAGCACAAACCAGGCTGTGTGTGGCCTATTCTTTAATGAGGCGAGAAATGAATACAACTACATATGCGCACTTTGGCACACTAATGTGGGTTGTCAGTTTTGTGTGTACAGTTTGGATTCCCGCACTGATGTGGAAATCGCCTGTAGCCCTCTCTTTTACAGGAAATATGCTGTGAAATACCCAGCAGTTACTGCGAACGGAGCTCTATATATGATTGTGTATCCCATTGAGAAGGACAAAGATGATTGCATGCACGCCATACTCGCGTTTGAGATGGATTCTGGAAAATTCAACATTCTGCCACATCCAGAATTTGGATGCCCCCCTATGAAACATCATCATTTGTCCATGTATGTGTTTGCTCATGATGGCCATTTGTGTATCTCCCATAATGACATGGTGTTGGGGCGACTAGACATATGGGTTTTGGAGGATTATGCAAACTGGTATTGGGTCCCATTGTCTTCTACGATAAGTCTCCCCATCCCGGAAGGCTCTAAGAAGGACCCTCGTTTCGTGATCCAGAGCGTGCGAAGGGATGAGTTGCTAGTATTATGGGATCCATATTTATTTCTTGTCAACTTGAAGGAGGGCAGCGTTGAAGAAATCAAAGTGCCACACAAAGGTTCTCGTGATTTAATTGCTTACAAATTAATTGCTTACAAGAGTACGCTCGCAGCTCCACCTCTAGTTTGGGACGAAAGCATACCTCCGCTCTTCCGTCTCTAAGATATTATTGCACAATGAATAAATTAGCTGGGAAAGGATTTTCAGATTTATATTGAATTATGAGTAGTATAGTATAATAACTCATTTCGTTTTTTAATGTGAGCATTAGTTTGAAATGCTGTGCTTCGTGCTACTTCTTGTAATGTATGGAGTATGAAGTAATTATAGTGCCTTTGGCCTTATGTCAATTTTAATTCTTTAGTTCTGTCTAGTATGTATAAGCTTAGTAAATACCGGACTAATTTATTTTGGCCTTATTTGGGAACAAGGATAGAGATTAATGTTATCATTTTGGATAAAAATTTAATGGTGTAAATTAATACTGAAAATGCTCACGCTAAAGACTACTATTGAATAACTTTTTCAAAAAGCTTACGCTAGTCTTTAACGCTGATGCCAAAAGAAACCTTTGACACTTTTGAGTTTTATTCATTTTTGTGGGACCTTTTTAGCGATTACATGATTAGGTTGGTGGCAAGTAGTAGTAAGTTTGATGATTAGCTATTACGCTAATATTTCAGAACACTTTGTGATAGTCTAATTTTTTGTTAAAACACCAATATTTTGTGTCACTATGAACTACCGTTGTTGTTAACCCACCAACTTCTCATTTCCTTAGTTTAATTTTGTCTCTTCAATCTCAAGTCCCCTTATTGTTAAATGTTAAGACATATTGACTAGTTTGAGATGAGAATGGGTGGGAATATTGTTCATAAAAGCATCTTAGCATTGTATATAATAAGATAATAAGCGTATATATACACCTGAATATATTTAAATATGTAAAAAAATTATAAAATTTCCTTGGGATCGCGTGACCCCGTGTGACTGTACATGGGACTGCCCCTAAACCTAAGATATGGGTTGGATTTTAGCTCATTAAGATCAGGTCACCCAGAGGAAAAGAACGCTACAAATAAATTAGGACGAACGGTGAATCGACGAAGGACAGAACCAGTAACTTCGCTAAACTGGAAGGGTTCCAAGGACAGGATTTTCGAAGATGGCAGAAGAAGATGCAGATCCTGTTGACGACTCTAAAAGTCGTGTATGTGCTGAGTACTCCCAAACCAGAAGAACGCGAGGACGAAACCATTGAACATGCCAGAAGGCGCTGCAAATGGGAGAATGACAACATTCTTTGCATAGGCCACATTCTTAACGGTTTGTCTGATCTCCTGTTCGATATTTATCAGAATATTGAATCTGCAAAGGAGTTATGGGATTCTCTTGAATCCAAATACATGGTTGAAGATGCATCAAGTAAGAAATTTCTTGTTAGTGACTTTAATAATTATAAGATGGTTGATTCGAGGTCTGTTATGGAACAATATCATGAACTTGTGCGTATGTTGGGACAATTTAATTTACATGGTATGAAACAAGATGAATGTATTTCTGTTTCGAATGTAATTGATAAGTTGCCACCGTCTTGGAAAGACTA